CCACTATATATATATATATATATATATATATATATGGATAAAGCAGTAAAAAATTGATTCTTAAATTTGAGGTCTCCTCCTCCTATGTGGACACGTGGTGGTTTTTTGAGCTGAACTGACCTGCTTTTTTGCACCTTCATTTGATTTTAAAAGACATAATTACTACAGCTACTATAAAAAAAATAATAAAAAAATAAAGCCTTAAATCCCTTCTAGAAAGGAGGTATAATCCTTTAGACAATTACAATATGTACCAGGAGATCAGGAAAATCCAGCTAATACTTTGCTATAGGAAATTCCTGTTGTATGTGTAGCTCTTGCTCCATATTTTCTGTTTCTGTTATTATCATGGTTATTATCATGGAATTGTTTACATATCAATATTGCATGCCCGTTGAGTATCTTTTGTAGAACTCTTGAAGACTTTTATTCATGGAACTGGTACTGTGGCTTTTTGATTGGTGGAACTGGTACTAAGTTGACGCCGTTGTTTTAAAAAGCATGATTCTTATCACTGTGCTCGAATACACTTTAGCCCTCATGGTACCAGTGGGACCTTCAACTTCAAAGATTCCTGTTCTTTCTGCCATCTTCTTGTCATCATGGTTCTTTTCAGTGAAGTTACCCAACAGGTTAACACACTCTTTCCTTAGTCCATGAAGAAACTCAGTTGCCTTAATGTTTCATTAGCTGGTTGCCAGGCAAATTTTTGGGAAACAATTCTCAAATATATCCTTTCCACGCCGTCTACTAAATAAAAAGCATATTTCCACACTGCACGCATACTGGATATCTTGCACTTTTCAAACTTCCCCACTTAGGTTCCAGCACTTTATTCCTGGTCTGAACTTCTGAGATACTCTTTGGTTGCTCCAACATGGTCTCCTCATTGTAGTTTCTTTGGGAGCGCCTATCCTCATAAAATCTTCCTCAATGAAATATTGCTGCAGACATTGAGAAAAGAAAACCGCACTCACCATTTTAAGGCCGCGAATGCTAAGCATTTAATTTTCTTGGATTTTACCTATTTTTGTTCTTTGAACCAGATGGGATTATTTCTGTACGGAAATGACTTGAGGACCTTGATGGGACATCTCAAAGTGGTATATTTAATGTTTGAAAGATTTATTTTTTGGGTAGTTCAAAGGTAGGAATCAAACTTGAGATGTAACACTGCTAGTCGTCAGCTGCTAACCATTCAAGCCCAAGCTCGATTCCTATAATTGGAAGATTTAAGAATGTGACCTTTCTTAGTCCTTCCTAATGTATTCTTTTGTGTGCTTCATGTCTCCTTTTAGCGCTATCTAGCACATTGTAAGAGGTGTTCTTGCTGTTTGCCCTTGCACAAAGTTACCCAAAGACAGTTACTTCTCAAGCTTTCTGCTTTCCCGCATCCTCCGTATTGACCATTTCATCATTCACCACCTCTAGGTTTTTCTTGGCTCCTATGATATTCGATTTGCTTCAGTTGATCTTTTGCCCCATATCCTTTTTATAACTCCTAAGCATAAATCTGTGATCTAATGCTTTTATTTTTCTTGTTAATGTATTTGGTTATGTAAGAACATATTTAGATTGGGTCTGGGATCTAATTGAAATTAATCAAAAGAAAGAAACTGGAGTCTTGGTGCATCTATTGGGAGGTCAACAACTATATTAGTGATGGTAATTAGTAGCATTCGAGATTTTAGTGTATGAGAAGTTTGCGAGGATTTTGTTTCACTCTTCCTCAAAAGGAAATCACTTTTTACCTTAGATGCATATGGGGTGATTTAATGTTCATTTTTAACATCTTCGCAAGGACTACAGTTCTTAAGTTGGGATTTTAGGCTTCAAAGCACTGTCGATACTTAATGACAAATTTAGTGAAAATAATTTTATTTATAATTTGATTTATGTTTTAATTAGGAGTGCCAAGTCTCAGTAGTTGTTTTGGATATCCATAAATGCTTGGAGTCTTAGTTGCTTAGTTTTCTATATTTAATTTGGGGCTTTATTAGGTTGCTTGAAGTTCAAGCTATGGCAGGTTTAGGGATCCTGAAGGATTGCAAATGCAGTAAAGGGCCAGTCATGTTATGATTAATATAATTGCTTCCGTGCTATCCATCGTGGTGTTGATTCCCTCTTCCTTGTGTTGTGGTTGTGTTTGATTCCAGAACTCCTTTGTGGTACTGATTCTACAAAAAATCTAGTTCTTATATGATGATGCACAAAGTGCATCGAGTGGACAGAATGACAAGTATATGGGAGCAGCACGTTCTTCCTAATTCTCTTGTATATTTGGAGGATGTGAACCCTAGAAAGGTTACCGAGAAGAGTAAGCATTTTAGGATGATTTTATTCAAGGTTATTTTCAGTTGCTTTTATTTTCTGGATCAGTTGGGGACTTTCTGGGCATTTTATTTAATGTTAGGGTCATTTATTTAAGTCACTTAAGTTAAGACTTTTGTGTCATTTTATTTAGGGTTCGGTTTGTATAGAGCCTAGGCTCCAAACAATCAAATTAGAGCCTACCTTCAAATAGTGTCGAGAAATGTGGTTTCATAAAGTTTAAAGCTTCAAAAATAGTGTAGATCAACAGATCTATGAAGACTTGAAAATCTTGAAACTTGACGGTCCAAAAATGCATTACACAATACATTATTTCCAAAACTTGAAATCCATTTTTTTCTCAAGTCCATGCATCTTGATGTTGAGATAATTTGAGAATATTTGAACATCAAAACAACCTATTCTAGTGAAATTTTTGAGGTAGGCTCTAATTTGATTGTTTAGAGCCTTGGCTGTATATAAACTTTTCCCTTTTATTTATTGCATGCACATTTAATATCATTGAACATTAAATATTGTTATTTAAGAGGTATGTGGGGCCTAGAGGCATTCCATGTGATTTTCAGATTGAAAGAAGAGAGGGAAGAGCTTAGGCTTTTGAAGCTCTAGTTGGGTTTGAAGAAGAAACTCAGGTTTCTTCTATTTGTTGCTTGTGCTTGGCCTGAATTATTGTTGATTTTCTATTTTCATTGAGTTTTTGAATTTCTTGAATCAATTTGGTATCAGAGCTAAGGTTTCTTCAACAAGAAGGCCAAAACTACAACCAAGTCTAGGGTTTCTACTTTGTCCAAGGTTCGCTGATTTCAACCAAATTTTTATTGATTTGAGCGTAGGGTTTTCTAAATTCAGCTAGGTTTTGTTGATTCTCTGCCTAAGGTTTGTGATTTCGGTGAACCTTTGGAAGTGAGAAGGAGCTGTGGAAGGGTGGTTTTCATAGACCCACTTAGTGATCCTCGGGATAAAGATATTGAAGACCTCAAAAGGCAAGTCAGCAGCTTACGCAACAGTTAGCAAGTATCAATCATGTGCAAGAAGATGAGTTCGGGCCCAAGAAGATCTCAAATACAACCCTTTTCATTGTCGCGTTCCCCGTGTAGAGTAGAGTGACGAGGACAATGACGAAAGGCCTAGATTTGC